GAGTGGAATCAACCCATCAATGTAGTCCTGATTCTTGCCTTCAAGAAGGTGTCCTCTGGGCAATGGTGACCCGATGCAAGATAAGATAGGATAAAATGGGAAGTTACGCTTCTCGTTCTCGTTACGATTTGGAAATGAAAATTCAAAGGACAACATTGACACTACCAAATCGAGCGCTGCCGCAGCCACCTTCTCAAGCTTCGGTCTTCTTGAACTTGGAGCTGTTTCCGAATCGTTTTTGAGTCACTTATCACTCTTCGAATGGAATCATTACCAGTGTCTTTGAGCATGACTAGTGGAACAACATATGCAACCTAGAGATTGAATGAAGGGAAAACTCTACTTTACGAATCAGCCCTCAAGCGTACAAACACTATTTGTCACTGGTATAAGATGAGTCACCCGATGAGCTAGCTCCATAGCTAGTGGTCATTTCAAGGAAGATATGCAAGGAAGATAGAAATCAGAATACGCCATGGTCTACCTTCTGTTGGTCAAAGTCAACAGAAGGCAATGAGCTCTTCTCTCCTTTCCTCTGAATCTGTGGAACATTTCCTTGGAGGATATGTTCCCCACCTTATTGTTTCTCCATGTTACGGTTGAGGTGGTCTAATGTGAACGCTGCATCCTTCTCAATAAAACCGCTTTCGATTAGTTCCTCTGAAGTACTTGGGTTATCATAAACGTCTTTTCCGTAAACACCGCCTCAAGGCTGGTGTCAGAGTCCGCGATCCGTCGCAGGTTTCGCTGATTTCAGCGATTTTCGCGATTTTCGCGATTGCGCGATTTGCGCGACGGGTCACGGAAATCACAAGTGCCCGATCAATACTGCAAGGTGTTCTCCAATCCGCCGCCACTTCTGCTTGATAGTGATGGCTGAATGACGACTGCTCATGATTCCACTTGTTTCATATTCAGTGTTTCAATTGTTCAAATGGGGCACTTGCAATTTTTGCGATCCGAATCATGAGCATTTCAATGAACTGAAATTCAATGAACTAATAGACATTGAACATGAAACAAGTAGAACCACAAACATTCGTCTTTCAATCTTCACTGTCAAGCAGAATTCGCAGCAGGATTAAACAACACCTCGCAGTATCATCGGGCACTTCCAACTCCTGTGATCCATCGCAGGTTTCGCGCAAATCGCGAAATCGCGCAAATCGCGAAAATCGCTGAAATCAGCGAAACCTGCGACGGATCGCGGACTCTGACACCAGCCTAACGCATTGACAGTGCGGGGGTTTTACATCCCGCGCTTTGCAGGCCACGTCGGACCGTGCGGGGAATATGTCGCCCACACCCATCCATTTTTTTCGCACATGCACGAGTTCTTCCAGAAGTTTTTTTTGTTTCTATTTCATAGAAAGGATATTGATATAACTATAAACGTTATGGTCCATGGAACAGTCAAATATACTCAAGTCTAACAAAGTTTTTTCAAAACTCGTGAACTTTTCAATTCAGCCAAAGCTATTACTATTTCTTGAAAAGAAGTAAAGTTGTGAATTTGATTTGTATGTTAGTCCAAAACGCTGCGAACGATAAAATTAATGATATGACAATGTTGTAAGAAGTTCCAACTTTTATAGTAGAAGAACTTTTGTAGTATACGAACTCTCCTCAACAAGGCTTCCAATTTGATCCATTTTGTAACCCTAAACAGGCGTTCACGCAATCGAAACTTCTGCTGGAGCAGCCACTTTCTTTGTGCTTTTATCAAAGCTAAATTACTTAGTTACCGCTCTCTGAAGTTGTTTATACGTTCGAGCTTCCAAAAACGCGGCCTTGTTGGACCGTGCGGGGATATGTTCACCGCGACAAATGCGGTCGCAAATCGCGTCGGTCCCACATGGCCAAAAACAATAAAAATCGCATTGTTGTTAATGTGTTAAGACTGTGAACGCTTCAAGCTTTCTTCAGCCATTACTATTGAAACATTTGAGAGACCCAACAACAACATCAAATGGGGCCAAGCTGCAACGAGGCTCGCTGTTCCAACGGAACTGAATGTCAAATGGTTGTGGTCGACGAGGGGCATAACCGATCTCAAACGGAGCCACAGTGTGTTCGTAAAGGTATACATTTCAAGAACAACTCATGGGCACACAACGAATCCAAATGTTTTGATCCTTTCCTTGGGTGAAATAGTGCTCAATGGG